ACTAAAATTACCTCATGCTTGTGCAGCTAAAATGGCCCTGCCTGGAGAGGCAGATCTGGAGGAATAGAACTTTAAACATCAAGATTAGCAAATTAACTGACAGGAAAAGCCAAATAGCCAATTAACCTACTACTGCACAGCCCCGGGGCTGGTCTGGAGCTCCAGGCTCTCTGTGGCAACTGATATTTGGTGCCCTAAAACCTCCAGCTGATGCTCCTTCTTTCTCTCAAGCTCCACAGTCACTGGGCTTGTTTGTTTTGTATGTCACTTCCTTTGCTGAGCCAGTGTGGAAATCACATCGTGTTGTTCTGAAGTGGTTGCCACGGGAACATCTCCACCTGGTCATTATCTACGCAGGCTCCTGATTATATTAAGCCAGGAGACAGAGGTGTAGCAGGGGTCACTGGAGCCACCTGCTCTGCAGAAACTGTAATTGCTTCTGCCACGTTCACCTCTGGCCACCCGTCTCTCCCAACACTCCTACATTTTCCCCTCTCTTGTTTCCCCCCAAACAAAGTCAGTAAATGAAGTCAGTATGTAGGAAACCAGCATGGGGATAAGATGAGCCATTACATTCCCCTCCCTCCTGCCCTCCTCCAGTTCTCTGTTTTAGAACCTCATGTGGATTAAAAATAATTGTCACCCTTTTTTCACATTCTCTTCTGCCCCTCCCTGCTTAAGAGATAAAGATGACTCTCTTCTTTTAAAGTCTATAATTCCTGTGTCCCACACAATGGCGCTGAAGTCACAGTTTCCTGCTACTTATCCAGAGAAGCTTCTAGAAATTCATATAGATGCCTCTTTTCTAAATTGTATGAAATATCAATAGGACATGAAACTGGCTATTAACAAGTAATTGTGTCTCACGTGTTTCTGTTGATCTGGATGAATTTCTTATGAGGAGGATTTTCTGATCTTTATTCTCAGATTGCATGTGACATAGGAGGGGTGTTGTCTCAGAGTACTTTTTTGGGGAAAAGCCATACAGTCCATTGGCCTTGTAATTTATTGTCCAAATAAGGATGTTTTGGGAGTTGAAAAGTGGCATTATTAATAGGTATGCCTAGACAACAGGTGTAAATTAGGACTATCTCCGGCAAACCAGGTATATATTGTCACCTTACATGTAGATGACAGGTACATGGGCATGGTAGTACTAATGCCCTCACAGAATATGGGGAAAGGAGCACCTCTTGCAAAAAAAATCTGTGCATTTAGAAATTATACTTGTGGAGTTTAAAATCTGGATCAGCAAGAGCTTCCCTTTTTGTTTATAATTCTACTGCATGTAAATCTTGTTAATGTGAGACCATTCTTAATGTAACGTGATGGCACTGGGAATTGAAAAGAAAAAAAAAAAATGACATTAACAAAGGAAAATAAGACTGGACTAAATGTGCCTATATTGATGTCATAAACTCTTTTACCCTGATTAAAAAATCTAACTTAAAGGGCTTCCCTGGTGGCGCAGTGGTTGAGGGTCCGCCTGTCGATGCAGGGGACACGGGTTCGTGCCCCGGTCCGGGAAGATCCCACATGCCGCGGAGCGGCTGAGCCCGTGAGCCGTGGCCGCTGAGCATGCGCGTCCGGAGCCTGTGCTTCGCAACGGGAGAGGCCACAACAGTGAGA